CGCCCACGGGCGGGCACCAAGCGGCAGGCCTGCCCACCCGCCCAACGCGCGGGGCGCACATGAAGCACCTACGGGCGGGCACCACCCGGGCACGCGGCGAGACCCCGACCCACCAGTCCGACCGGGCTGGGGCTGTCGCGGGCCCGCGGGCGAGAAACCAGCCGCCAAGGACGAAACAGATGCCCAGGAGGGAGGAGTCGAGATGTCCAAGGCTTGGCTCCAACTGGGCTGGTAGGAGGCCACATGGGAACCCTACCCTACCGCCCCAGGATTTCCAACGAACGAAGTGAACCCCACCTCACCCCTTAGAAATCGTGGGGTGGTGGGATCGGGTTCGCATGTGGCCTCCTAGCTGGGGCTGTCGCGGGCCCGGGGGCAAGAAAGCAGCGGCCAATCACGAAACCGATTCCCAGGGGGGAGGGCTCGAGATGTCCCAGGCTTGGGTATAAACGAATCAAGACCTCGAAGTCTGGAGTTACGGCTTGAAACTTGGCTAGACCGGCCGGCAAGTGCGAGGCGCTCACACACCACGCCTACCCACCAGCCCTCACACAAGCGTCGAGCCTCCTGTCAGCACCGCTGTCTCGAACCCGGACGTTGATCCAAGAACTGCGGGATGCAACCTCGAGCGTCGAGAATACTAAAAGTTCCCGGAACTCTCGACCCTTCACGGAGGCAGTTTTCTCGCCCCGTGCAGCGGTTTGATTGTCCAGGGCCCGAATCTGGCCTCCGGAGGCCAACATCGTGCAACACATGGCTATTGAAAAACTCTCACGTCGGAGGTCTGGTCAGCTGTAGAACATGCCCCACATGGCTAAAGCGCGCACTTGCCCTATTTCGGAGATGGCTTTCAAGAGCAACACCGGACCATCGCACGCTCAGCAATGCGTCCCACCGTCCTCCTCCTCCTCCTCTTCCGCAATATCCTCCTCCTCCTCGATCTAATTATCCTTGCCACCTTCTTTCCATCCAAGTCCTGCACTGGTCCCAATCCCCATCCTCCTCCCACTCCCATCCCCCATCCTTCCTCCTCCGTCTTCACACCCCCTTTCCATAAACATCCCTATTCCTTCTCGTGCTCAGCTGGTCTTTCGGACTCCCCTGCTCCTGACCTGCGGCGCCAAATGTCAGCTGTGCGAGGACCGCGAGCGTACGGATTGTGGTGGTAGCCGTCTAATCAAGAGCCGAGAACCAGCATATCGTATTTACAAGTATCAATGTGGTGCCTTGGCAGCCTGGCATATACACGAAAACGTGCATGGGCACACTGCCTGGGTGAATTCGTGCGTGATTCCCCCCGTGTGCGAGGACTGGGTACAATCGAATGGATTAGTTGATGTGCGATGAAAACCCCAGATCTGCAATACCGCGGTCCGACCAAACAAACCATCATTGTTGACTCTGCTGCTAAACTGTACGAGCTGAGCACAGGTCCAAAGGCCAAACATGTTCGGGCGCCCATGGAAATCCACTTGCCGAAATTGCCGTTGGAAGCGTGTCCTTGCTTCCACCACATATGTCAAGGCCAACTTGCAGCATGAAGCTGGTCATCCCCAGACCTCTCGACATCGTGGTCTGCGGCCAAGTTCTCATCCCGTGTCGTCTTTTCATCGTTCCAGGGTTCATCGGCGAACGTCCCCGGTCAGTTCTATGCTAAGAGTGGCTCGCTGTTGCAAATGATGCTATTGATTCTACGCGCCTCTCACTGCCTTCGAGCCCAACGACCGCCGCCCAGTTGCGCTCCGGACGCCTTCGCAATCATATTCACGTCAAGCATCCGACGTCAGATATGCCGACCGATTTTGACAGAATTTTGCCTTACCGAGTCCCATGTCGGACCAGGACGCGAAAATTATCAAGGCGAAGGGTCAAACCATATATAGCTGGGAGTACCACGAAGCAGGCGAGCAAGATGGGGACGAACAACTGGACGGACTGGGGCGCAAGGCCTGCGAATGTGGCGCCGTGCGAACTCTGCCACTGGGGCCTTCGGTGGAGCTCCCTTTGCGGCCACTGTCCTCGTGAGGGGTGTGATGAAGAGGGCGGGGGGATGCAAGCGGACCATGCCACTGTCGCCTTCGCTGGAGCTCCCTATGGGGCCACGATCCTCGTGAGGGGTGTGCCAAAGTGAGCGGGGGTACGCATGCGAACCCTGCCACTGCAGCCTTCAGTGGATCTTCTTCTGGGGCCACGATCCTTGCGAAGGGTGTGCCGACATGGGTTGGGGGACGCATGCGGGCCCTGCCACTGGCTCCTTCAGTGGAGCTCCCCATGGGGCCCTCATCCTCGTGAGGGGTGTGCCGAAATGGGCGGGGGGACGCATGCGGACCCTCATGACGGGTGTGCTGAAGTGTACGGGTGTACGCATGTGGACCCTGCTACTCGGGCATTTGGTGGAGCTCACTGAGGGGGCCACGATGTTCGTGATGGGTGTGTTGAAATGGACATGCGGAGGGCAGACGCAGGGATGACAGAAGGGATGAGGGGGCAGCGGGAGGAGTGGAACGCGGCGATGCGGATTCAAAACGAGGACCCAACACCGCAGGATGGTTGGAAAACATGGGGCGGGACGAAGAACTGGACCCCGTGAAAGGGTCGATATCTCTAGCGGGCGACTTGCTGGCACTAGATCGGAGATCAGGGGTTCCCTCCCCTCTCTCTCTCTCTGCCTGTCTCTGTTTATGTGCCTCTGTGCCTGTGTCGCTGTGTCCCTGTCTCTGTCTCCCTGTCTCTCGGTCTCTCTCTCTCTCTTTCTCTCTCAGCGGAGTTGGAAGGCGCACTGGTCGATTTTGCAGTCTGGAACAAGGAGGCGGACAAATGGGACGACTGGCTCGGGGAGGAGGAGGGGGATCCGCATCAGTGGCCTGCGCGAAGATGGCGCATTGCATGTCCGACTCGCAACTGAAGCAAATAAGAACCGCCTCTGGACATGCGCATGGTGGCTCAACAAGGGCTCATTGCACAAGGTCGGAATCTACTTTCATGGCGGACGACTTTCCCTCGGAATGCTGGATTCGGGCATAACGCGAGCCGTGGCCTTGGCTTGGATGCACGCGCAAGGCCAGACCGAGTCACGACAATCGGTACGCGGACCGGCTGGCGCAAGCGTCGTGGCTCAGGAGAGGCGTCGGACGGAGGGCGGTTCACCGCCAGGACTGGGACACGGAGAGAAGGACCGGAGTGGATTGGAACTGCGCGGCGCCCGCCAGCGGTGCGAAGGAGGAGGAGGAGGAGGAGGAGGAGGAGGAGGAGGAGGAGGAGGAGGAGGAGGAGGAGGAGGAGGAGGAGGAGGGGGAGGAGGAGGAGGAGGAGGAGGGGGAGGGGGAGGAGGGGGAGGAGGCTGGAGGGACACCGGGGTGGCCACACGCACGAGTGCCGCCGTCCAGCCCACGCGCCGCGGGCTCCCCGAGCCAGGACCGCCCCGCGGGCGCACGGGAGGCCTCCTCTCGGAGTGGGCCGGGGGGGCGCTCGAGAGCCTGCCACACCAGGGCGCCAGAAGCTGAACATCTCGCAGGAGTTCAGGAGGCAACCGCTGGGAGGTTTCGTCGGAGGGATCAGGGAGGACTGAGCCCCATAGGGGGGGCTGCTGCGCCAGAGTGTGCCTCGGATCAAGCGGGATCGAACCAGATCAAGCTGGATGAAACGGGATCAAGCGGGATGACGCGGGATTAAGCGGGAATAAGCCGGAGTGAGCTGGATTTCGGACCAGGGCAAAATCAGAATCTAACCTCCCAGGAGTTGCATCCGAAAGGAGTTGGCTGGGCCTCTCAAGCTCGGACGGGCGCGCCGAAACTTCAGCGAGGTGCAACCTCACAGAGCACCGGGTTCCGAGTCTGCTTCTGCGCCGCACGCGGAGGGGACGAGTGAGCAGAGCCTCGCATAATCTTCAGATGCTGCTGACATGTCCAGGAAGGACACGAGTGGAACGGACCTGAGAGAACGCCGCTGAGGTGGCTGCAGCGGCGTCTGGACCCGTGCCGCTCCCGCGGCAAGCGTCAGGGGCAGCAGAGCTCTGTGCGTCCACGAAGACGCTCGTGCACACAAGCGTGGGGACGCCTCCTGCTCAACTGGGTGCGCTGCATCCGCACTGATCACTAGTACTCGGTGCTGCGGTCGCCATTCTGGGCGACGGTAGAAGACGTGGGCTTCGACGAGATCGGAGTCGAGTGGATTCCTTTGCATCTCTCGCAAGCGGGGACCGCCTAGAGGAACGCAAATACATGTCGGTCGGAAGAAGTAGATAAGAGCATGAAATGGGAAGGCGGATAACGTACATTGGGTTCAAGCCTCTCCCAAACGAATCAAACAAAGAAACGCAAACTCATATCGTATCGTTTCTGGAAGTGAAGGCGTGTGAGGAATACTGGCTTCTGGGAGTCCAGAAATACCTACTTCCAACGACCGGCGTGCAGCACAAACACCAACTGCTGGAGGTCCGCGCGGACTTCTCGGATCGTTGCCAAAGATGAAGGGGCCCTGGGACACACAAATAAATACACACAAATAAAAATATTCCCCATATTCTCCCATATTTTCTGGGGTTTTTGTCTTCCCCACCACTTCCCATATTTTCCCATATTTTCTGGGAAATCGACGATTAATTGTGTCTGTGTGTTTCTTCCCCTCCTGAACAGAGCCCCCGTCCCCGGCGCGCAGGGAGCACGCCGGGAGCGGCCGCAAAGAGGCGCCGCCGGGAGGCGCTCCGGCGCCGGTCCGAGAGCCCCGCGCGGACCCCCGACAGTTTGGGGCTGCCCGCCGTTTGGAAGAAGTGGGCAGAAACACGAAGCAGGACTGCGCCGAAGCAGATCGGGCTTCCGCCCGCCCCCTGACAAGGGAGGGGGCACCACTCGACTCTCGACATCGAGGGCGCCGACAGCAGGCTGGGACTCTGGCACCCCAAAGACACCTGCCTTCGACGAACAACGGGTATGCTGTTCTTTGGTTCCCCGGCTATCAGGCAGGGAGTGCCGCTTGCGCACTGGCCTAGGCACAAACAGTTGGACCGCTGTGCAAAACGTGGGGCCTACAGCGCATTCGCGCATCGGCGCCCGCAAGGAGCGCGTGCGCGAGCCCCGCGCGGCAGTGGTCCAGCCGACCTCGAGGCTCGTGCTCCGCAGCCCACGGCGGTGCTCGGGAGGGAGCTGGGCCGATGCTGAGAAGGTCGAGCCACCAGAGTGGCACCCTGGGTCTGTTCTACGTTTGCGCATGCCATGACAATGGACACTCTAGCAATCCTATCATTGAATTAGGCATGTGCTTAAAATGTGTAACACATGTTCTAAATCATGTTTCAAATGTATGTTTTGACATACTCGAAACATAGTTGGACGATGGTTTAGGCATCTGGAACTTGTCTGGCAGCATGCCTCCTCTCCGTGAATCGACTTCCACATGCTACGTGAGGGTGCGGTCGGGAACTTGTGCCCGGCATGCCGCCACGACGGCCCTGGCGGCACACGAACCGTGCCCCGCAGGCGGACAGCGCGCCGCTCCGCGGGGGCGGGAGAGCTCAGAGAGAAGCTCGGGACGTTGACGCCCAAGGACTGGAAAAATGGACGGCGCGGCGCGCCGGAGCTCGGTGGGCCAACACGGGGGGAGCGACACGCTACACCCTGCGAGATGCTTTAGAAATCATGGGTTAAGAAAGTCATAGTCTCAGAATTTGAAAGCAAGCCCAGAATGTCTACTCAAATGTTAGGACTTGCATTGAAGCATTAAGAATAATCGAGACTCCGGCCGAAAACTTGGGTGTTCTTAAGCATCGCCTGGAGTGTACCCCAAAAGTGCCGACCGTGAGGGAGTATGGTGAGGGCATTGGCTGAGGCATCAGTGGACGAGGAGTCCAAGGTCTCGAAGACGGCGGAAATTCGACCGTCGAGTGGCCATGGACGTCACTGCCGCCCTCGTCTTACAAGGAGCCCCAAAGGGTCGGAAGCCTCCTGTGCACACTCCTGAACCAACACCCCCACCAGAGGTTTAAGCAACTATGGATTTGCGCGAAACGATGAGATGGTCGAGTCCGTCGGGAGGGACTGATCCATTTGCCGGATGAAGGGCGACCCTAAGGGGTGGGCGCCGCCCATTGCTCCCATAGGCTTTTCAGGGCATGTCCATGGCTTGGCGATCTGAATGTGCAACTCGATGTGTGGTCTAGAGCTGTCGTGATGTCCAAGCCTCGTGTAGCCTTGTTTCAATTGTAAGTGTGTGCCTGCTCCAAGGGAGAGGGCCGTCTGGCGAGAGAGTGGGCAAATGGGCTCCATCGCCCCATTCCCATTTGCTTTCACAGCTACCCTGTGGTTCGCGCCTTCATGGGTATTCATCATGCTGGCCTGGTGCCTCGTTCTCAGAAACCCTTGTCTTCACCTGAAATATCTGGAGTGTCTCTCTATCTCTCTCTGGTTTTGTTTTCCTCTCGTTCTCTCTGTCTCCTTCTGTATGCCTGCCTGTCTGTGTGGTTGTCTCTGTCTCTCTTTCTCTCTCTCTCTCTCTCTCAACATCCCTCTCGCTCTTTCTCGCGGCCGCGCAAGAACTGTGCTTTGAGCGCCCCTGCGCCATCGACAGCCAGGGAAAGCTCTATTCACCTCCTCCGCTCCCTCCCTGCCTCGCTGCCTTCAATTCCCTGCCCTTCGTAGAAACTTGTTTTATTCCGAAGGATAACGCATGTTACCCAGGAGGGTGGCGTGGGGGGGTAACGGTAGATGGGGCCGCGGCGCGCACCCCCTGAGGCGCACAGCCTACGTCGTCGTCGTCGTCGTCGTCATCTTTGTCGTCGCCCAAGCCCACAACGCCTGTGCACACAGCACGGGCTCTGTACAATGCCTTTGTGCACCAGGGCTGCTACAGAAATCGTATGTGTGTGTGCACCACGGCGACTGTGCACACAATAGCAACCGCGTGCACCGCGACGCCTTTATACATCGCATATCGCCTTTGCATATCGCTCTTGTACATCGCACCACGACGCTTTTTTTTGTACATCGCTGTTGTACAGGAGCAGCAGCAGCAGCAGCAGGAGAAACAACACGAACACCAGCTGAGGTGGCGCAGGGAGAGCAGAAGTGAGGCGCAGCAAGAGGCGCACCAAGAAATGCAACAAGAATTTCCCGCCCCCCCCCGTTGGGAGCCACGCGGGCAGCAGCACTTGTCTGCAAGAGAACACCTTCATGCACACAGCAATGCCGATGTATACCACAGCAGCCGTCTGCACCGCAACGCCTGTGCTCACTGACGCCACAACTGCTGTTGCAGCACACCTCCGCGTGCACCACGCCGCCCGCGTGTACCACAAACTTTGCGTACAACTCTACGGCCCCGACGGAGCCAAAGTCCGGGAAACTGCTGGGGACCCGAATGTATCATATCCAACATAATGATCTGATTGTGATTCTTAGGTTTTTTTCTGGCCCGATGAACGCTTTGACATTTTGAGCCCACAGCGAATGTGAAACACAACTCGGGTCGGGCGAAAGGGGGGGATAGCAAAGGGGGGGGCTGAGAATCAGCTCACGTAGCTGATTTTCCAGGCGCCTCCTGGCGCCGGAGGCGGCTATTGAGGAATGGGCCCCTCGGTGAGGCCGAAACCAGCTGCATGCAGCAAATTTCGTAACCCCCCTTTTGCCAATCCCCCCTTTCGTCGGGCCCGAACAACGCCTGTGTGCACGGAAACGAAGAGGGAGGAGGAAGACGTGCGAAGAGATGCGTGGGCCCATGATAGCCCACAGCGCACGCTCCCATCGTAGCGACCCTGCGCACTACAACGATTGCGTGCACCACGGCGCCTGTGTGCACCACCGGGCTTGTGATGTGTACACCGCAATTCTGGCGTACGCCCTTGATGCCTGAGTACACCACGGCTGCTGCTGCAACGACAGACGTGTGCACCAGAACGCCCGTGCACACCGCACTGCCTGCGTGCATCAGAATGCACGCCCGCGAACACAACGGACCCTAGGCTGCCCGGGATCGCGCGCTGTATCGGGGCCGGGGCGTTACCGCTAAGGGAAAGGAGGGGGGGTAACATGCTTTATCCCCTGGGTGGATAAACAATGGTCTCTTACTCTCCCTCCTCACAAGAAATCCTGCTCGATCTTCTCGACGCCCGCTTGGGTGATGTTGGTGTTCTTGGCGAGTGCAGCCGCGAATTCCGCGTCGGCGGACTTGATCTTCTGAGCCGTGATGTTCCGCGCCGCCTCCAGAACCTTTTCCACGCCCTTCGGGTCCTTCGCTCGTTTTGGAGAAGGGTGACTCCTGCTGCTCCTCCTCCTCCTCCTCCTCCTCGTCCTCCTCCTGTTCGCCCCTTTCTTCCTGTTCCCATGTGTCCTCCTCCTCCTCGTTCTGCCGGTCCTGCTCCTTCTGCTCCTATTCCTCCTCCTCCTCCTCCTCCTCCTCCTCCTCCTCCTCCTCCTCCTCCTGCTCAGAAGCCGCACTGGCACGAGGGCGCACGCAGAGCACGCCAGTCGTCACACTCGTCGGCCAACAGGCCCATCGCGGGGGAACCGAAGAACTGGAGCGTGCGACGCTTCTGCCCCAGAGAGGCTCGACATGCCATGCCTGCTCCTCCTGCTCCTCCTGCTCCTCCTACTCCTCCTCCTGCTCCTCCTCCTGCTCCTCCTGCTCCTCCTCCTCCTCCTCCTCCTCCTCCTGCTCCTGCTCCTCCTCCTCCTCCTGCCATCCCCGAACCTGGGGTGGAGGGCGCGGAAGCTGCAGCCCGCTTAGCCGGAGGTATGGCCTCCTCCGCGGGGCCTCTCGCCTTGTCCACCATCCTGCCCCCCCCCCACCTCCCTCCTCCCTCCTCCCCACATCCCCTTTCCCCTCCTGCCTCCTGCCTCCTTCCTCCTGCCACCTCCTCCCCCTCCTCCTCCTCCCCCTCCCTCCTCCCTCCTCCCTGCCCCCCGCCGCGCTCTCGTGCTGCGGGCACGTGCAGTTGCTGCCAGGCTCACGGCCTTCCCCGAGGGCCTGCGCGGCGTGCCCTTCGAGGAGGCCCCACACGAGCTACCAGAGGGGGGTGGCACCGCCCTGGTCTCGATTGCAGTGCGCCTCTGTCGCGTGCCCTGGCCCCCGCGATGCGCACCGCGTGCAGGAGGAGGATGAGGAGGAGGAGGAGGAGGAGGAGGAGGAGGGGGAGGAGGAGGAGGAGGAGGTTGTTGGGGACGGGCCTAAAGCCAGAACGCCTCCTCGTTCAGCCAAAATCGGAGGCCTCCGAGTCTGACTCGAAACCGCAGTCCGAGGCTCGGAGGGAGGCGGCCCCTAGGTCCTTGACCCAGGGTAAATCCGACTCTGCCAGGCCGAACGAATCCAAAACCTGCTCTCGCGGGGCGAAGCCCTCCGCGGAGCCAACAGAAGCAGGACCTGCAACTCCCTGGGGGGCCTGGCCATCCTCTTCCAGCGACTGAGCCAAGACCCTCCGCTCGGCGAGGCTCAGGCTCACATGAGCCCCCAGAGTCAAATTCTTCAGGTCCTTCTTGTACGAGGGAAACTTGCCCTGCCGAATCCTTCTCAGCTGGTCATTAATTCCACCCGTCGTGAGTTTGGGCCTGCACAGGCCTTTAGCTCCAGCATTGGGAGCCCCAGAGAAAAACGATCCGCACCGACAACAAAATTGGATCCTACCCCTGGGGTTTCCAGGAGGTTCTAAGACAGGGCTGGCCAAAAAAGCATGGCCGTTGGCCCGAAACACTTGCCGAGAGAATGAACGCCACTCCTCCCCCAAGTCCGAAGAACCTCCCACCTCCCTTTGATCGTCGCCCAGGGCCTGGCCGAGGGCATCAGCCTCTTGTGAGTGCTGCCCCTGGCCATCGCTGCCTGTCGACCTGGGCACTAGGCCCGTTGTGTCGCGGGGCCCGTTGGACATCGGCACCTCTACCGATCCAGCCCACCTGCAGGCCTCGCGGGCGAGGCACCTGAGACCTCTGTACAGGCTGGCCTCTTCGTCGCTGACCCCGTGACACTCGGCTCCTAGTTTGGCGAACTTATCTGCGAGCCCATTGGCCCGTCTTTCCCAAACACTGCTCCTGCCAGCCTCGACATCGGCCGCCGTGGCGTGGCCGAGCGTCTTGAAACACTCGAAATCGCTGAGAGTGAACGAGCTCCACACGGGGCCCCAAAGATGACCGCGGGGGGCTCCAGGGCCCTCCGCGAACCCAGGGCCCCGAGACAGCGAATCCAGAGTGCTCTGGCAATCTATATAGCATTGAAACGGGGGAAGACCTACTTGCGTAAGCATATATACAGCATAGTCTTCTCCATCTTTACTAGTTTGCTGCGGGGCCGCACTCAGAGGAACTGGACCGTATGCCGCCGAGAGCAACTCCCCAAACCTGTCGACCGATACGATACTCCAACCAGCCCGAGTGAGCCCATCGAGGCCCATGTATTTGGCCGACCCGTCCAGGAATAACAACCCCGTCAATAGCCCCGTCTCGGGCCTCTCGTGCCAGTGAACTGTTTGCGTGGGCTCCTCGACGTCGAAGAGCGAGCGAGGGCGAGGAAAGATGCACCTCGCGAGCCTCTCCGCCATGAGCGGCCCGAACTGCTTCACTCTCTGCGCACACCTACACAAGTGAGCACTCGCATGGTCTCGCCGCAGGACTTCATGCGCAGGGCACTCGTACTGACGGTGCCACAAAGTACCTGGGGCCCCCTTGCACACTTGACAAAGATCATCATCGTGGAGGTTGTGAGCATGAAGTCGGGCTTGGGGCCAGTGAACTCCCGAGACCAAACCTCTTAAACATCTCTGATGGTGCTCCCCCCAGGTTTCGGACTTCTCCTTGAACATCCTGGAAATACCGTCCCAGAAGATAGGGTAAACAGGTGGCCCATCAAGGCCATTCTGCAAGAGAAGGGCATGCCTATCTGACGCTCGCACGGCACCTTGCCTGATCATAGTCCTGACCTGCATCGGGGAGAGCCTGAACAGGTCATGCACAACGTTCAAGTCATCTTTGATGGTGTGCTGGTCTACAAAGTCCCAGCCTATGCCCCGCAACGTTAGAAGCGCGACGTCGCTGGGGGAAGACGCTGACCTCCAGGGCTGAGCTGAATTCTGAAACTTGGCGATCGAGACCCTCATGGTATTGGCCAACACCTGAACGTGAGGGACAGCTTCCCAAACAGCGGTCGCCCACATGAAAAGCACGTGCCCCACGTAAACCACCAGAGGGTCTACCTTGGCCCCAAGCCCGTACGTGTACATCCTGAGCCCAACCGAAGCACCTTTAGGGAGCCTGCCTAGGGAACTAGCAGCACCGATACGGAGCCCAGCCATTTTTGTGGGGGCCACCCCAGAGACCGAGGATCCCCATAGGGCCGATGCCACTGGCCCCATCCTGTGAACCATCCCGATGTCGGCTCCAGCTCCTTGTAGTATCTTGAGCCTCCTGGCCCTGCGCGAAGCACCTGCAAACCTTGAGTTCTGAATACCGATCCTGCGGAGGCCTCCCAAGGTAGCGTTGGTCCCAAGATTCCTCGCCGTGTCGGTGCGGCAAGAGGTGGGGAGGGACCAGGCCTTGGACAGGTGCGCCTCGACCTCCTTCGAGCAAAGGTAGGCACACTTCTTAAACGCCACAGGGAGCTGCAGCTGCTTGAAACTCTTGATCAGAGACTCTACTCCACCAGCCAGTTGGGCCGCCACCTGATGCTTGGGCCCGCAACACTGAACAGTGATGTCGTCCACCACATTACGCACATACAACAAGTTCCTGCTCTCACGGGCCTCCAATAGCGGTCCTAGTAGCAACATCTTGGCGAAAGTCGTAGCCCCCGAGCACCCAGCCACGATTGCCCCGTTCGATTCGACGACGGCCGACGAAGCTCCCCCGTAAAGAAGCACACGGTAGCCAGCATAGACGGTACAGTACGCTTTGACCAGCCTAACTGGGAAACCAAACCGTTGAGCTGCAACCAGTAGGTCCCCGTGGTCGACATTCTCATAGAACTTAGCCAAATCCACGAGAGCCGACGCTGATTCGAAACCTGCTTTACGACAATGCGCCCCGAGTAAGTTGTGGACCCATCCGGCCCTCTCGCACGTTGTGTCGGGCCCTGAGCCCCAGAAAAACTCGTACACGTGGGACTTTTCCCATGAGCGGCAATACGGCTGCCTCAACCGGCTCCAGAGCTTCGTGAAAAGGCATAGCAATCCGATCGGCCTGACCCCTCCCGTTGGTTTGTCCAAGAAAACCACATTGGTAAGGAACATCACGACGGCCCCAGGGTCGACCTCGAAGAGCGTCAAAATCTCCAGAAGCCGAAACTGGTAACTTTCGGGCAGCTGCAATACCCACCTCGGGTTAAATCCATCCCAGCCTAGGCCCGCCGCGGGCCCGTACATCTTGCAAACTCGATGTAAATCCTCCAGTCTGAGCGGGGAAAGGGCAGGCTCGTCGGCAGGAACTTCCCAGGAGCTCGGTGCGGGCCCGCGGCCAGCTCGAAACCACATCGGATGCCACGCATCGACAAGCTCTTGCACTGCGGCCTGACCAGCCACTGGAAGCCGAGGATCATCCGACATACCTCGCGAAAAGCCACATGAGACCTGTTGCTTGGAGAAGGCATGAGCCGCTTTACCTCCTCCAGAGACGGCACTCTTGGCCCATTCCTTCCACTTAGCAAGCTGCGAAGCCGCGTCCAGCCTCTGGCGACGAGTGCACTCTTTGCAGATGGCCCCATTGACGTCGTCGTTCCAGGAACCTTCTCCCGATGCCGCCCTAACAATGGTGTGCAGCTGGGCCTTTGTGGGCCCATCTTCCGTCAGCTGGAGGTCCTCCAAAATGTCGAACAGCTTAAGCTTCCAGGATCCCAAAAGAGCTCTCCCCTTGGCACCTGGGTTCCCAGCACTGATTGCCTTTGCCTTCTTGAGCAGGGCCTCGAACGAGATCCAGCAGACAGTCTGCTTCGAAAACCGCCGACGGTGATCTCGCTCTAGCAGCGCAACTAAGGGAACTTTCCGAGACTGGGGCCCAGCGGAGCGACCAACGTACCCTTTCAGATCACTTATTCCATGAATTTCAACCAGGCGAGCTTCTGCTTCCCCGAACCACTCCCGAGCAAGCGTGTCCAAATCTGAGTTTAGAGGGTCGCTCCATTGGATGTCCCTTTCCTGCGGCAGCGGCCCCATGAGCGCGGTGCTGAACGGCTTGAAACGCGTCTGCTGCTGGACCACCGCCGTCTGGCAGAGGTTCCCCAACCGAAGCAGCACAGGGCAATGGGGAAAAAGAGGCGCTCCTCGGATAGCCTGGACATCTTTGATGCACGAACTGATAGCCGATGACACGACGAAGAAGTCAAGCTCCCTTCCTCCCCCGTCATGCTCCGTCAGCTCATCCTCCTCCATATCTTCTCCCCTGGCAGTCCTAGGAGCGCGGGCCGAGCAGGTTGCCTGGCCAGAAGCAGCTAGCACACCGTGCACATGCTGTATCCAACCTGATAGCTGGAGAGCCGCGGGCGTGAAATTCCAATCACCTTGCACAATCCACGGACGCTTACTGCACAAAAGAAGCGCTCCCAGAACTTCCAAAATCTCTGAATTCTCGCCCGTCACGCCTATGTCGTTGACGAGATAGACACTGTAGATCTCAAGGCCCTGGTCGAACCCCGCATTGATGACCCGACCTACGATCCTCCCGTCGAACCTGCCCAATCCTGGAAGATCCAAGGGCCTCGAAGCGAGCTCCCCAGCGACCAAGATACCGACTCCTCCAGAGCTTTGCAAGGGCCCGTCGCCAGTGCTGAGGGCCTTCCCGAGAGACACCTGGTACCCATTCCTGCAGGCCCAACTCTGGGCCGAGATGATCTTGTCGGGGGGCTTCAACCTTGTCTCCTGGAGCGTGACCACCTGGAACTTGATTTGGACTAAACCCCAAGACGCCGCCCCAGATCCTCCGACGTCAGCTTGATCTCGGACCCAGTTCACTACAGTGTCTGCCGTAGACCAGCTGTTGACGTTGGCTCCAAAAATGCACAAGTCTGCAGATCCCCGCGCTACACCAGAGCCACGATCGTCCGCAAGAAGATTACGAGCGGGAGGTACTTCCGCCCTCCCGTCGGATTTCAACCAATGTGTTTTCGAATCCGCATCTGGCTCAACTTGGGGACGAAGGTGGCCACGCACACTGCCAGCCAATCTCGCTTCAGCGTCTGGAAGCTGCGCCAGCAAAACATCCTGCCCCCCCTCCCCACGCGCTGAGACCCCCGCCTCCTGTGGAAGGGGTGCCCCGGGGGTGGGAAGGGCAGGCGGCGACGACCGTTGCGTCCTAACGCCACGCGAAGAACCAGCCGTCGCCGCCGAAGAAGCCGACCCCGCTGCCGTAGATGTCGACGCCCTCTGAGCTGTCCGTGTCCCCAACCCCGAGGAGCGGGCCAGTTGGGGAGCCACCTCAGGAACCTGCAATAGCGATGACGCCGAAGGGCCGCTGCTGGCACTCGAACTCCCCGTGCATGCGGGCAGGGGGGTTCGACGATCGGGGGCTGAATCCCCTGCCCCCCTGCCCTTCGGGCCGAAGCCCCGTCGTGGCCGAGCCACGTGCAGCCCCAGCGCAGGCCAAGCCTGGAGGTCGAGAGCTTCACCAGCACGGGCCTGGGTCGCGCCCCCTCGACGCCAGATCGGCTCAGCCAATGCCCCCGATAGGGCCTGCACAGGCCGCGGGAGCAAGGACGGCACCGCAAAGCCGATCACCTCCGACCAATCCACGTCCACGACGTTGTGGTCCCAGAAGCGCTCGAGGTCGTCAAAGTCTCCGCGCACGTTTGATCCCCAAGGCAGCGGCAGCCTGTGCGTACTTGCGCTTGGCGGCATCCTGAGCTTCTCCTGGGGAAGCTTGCCTGAGCTCCTCCGCGGCCTTCCTGAGGTCTTCTGTGCGCGCCTCGATGTCGATGTCGTCTTGGCCCAGCAGCTCCATGTCAATGTCGTCTCCATCTCCATCCGCTGCTGGGATGCCTTCACCTCCTCGCTCACCTTCGGCACTGCGAGCTCCTGGATCTGCTTCGCCGCCAGGAGGACCGTTGCGGCCTGGACCACCAGAACGCAGAGCAGAAGCGCCACGAGCGGCCACTGCTTCCTTCTGGCGCTTGTCCAGCACGGCCAAAGCTGCCCTGACCTCGGCGTCGTCGTGGAGCGACTCGTCCAAGGCGGCCTCGGTGATCTTGACCAAGTCCCCGAGGTCCGTGGCCGACACCTTGGCATAGACTCCTTCAGCTTGTGACAGGTCTCGGCGAATCGACTCCACAGAGGCCTTGATGGCTGCCTCTTCCTCATCGAGGGCAGCTCGACGCTCTTGAAGCTTCCGTAGCTGCTGCTCGAACTTCTCGTTCTTCTTTCGCAGGTTCTCGACCCGCCAGCGAGCCGTGACCACGGAGGGTGGGTGCTCGGCGACCTCTCGTTGCTGCGCAGCTGTGACCGAGGCCACCAGCTCGCCCTGTATGCCCTTTGCCTGCAGGAAGCTGAGAACCTCCTTGAACGACGGGCCACCGTTGCCACTGCCGCCGCCACCACCTGGAGGGGCGGACTGAACCTGCTGCTTGGTGTCCTTCTCCTTGTCTTTGAGCAGGGCGTCCAACTGCTTCTGCATTGCCTGGATGGTCTTGGCCTGGGCGTCGCCTGGACCTCCAGGCGGGCCATTGGCCCATCGCCCCTTCCCTCCAGTGGCAGCAGCAGGGCTCCCCTTTCCACCTCCCTTGGCGCGGTTGGCAGCTGCTTGGGCCGCCACGAGCACACGTTGGGGGCAGGAATTTCCACATCCTCGGCACTTGACTCTGCTTGCCCAGTTGTCAAATGCCCCGCACTTGCCACATCCCCAGAGGGGGAGATGCGGCCCTGGAAGCACATCGGGCCCCATCCACGACAGCGAAAGCAGTGGACAGGGGAAAGCTTGGCTCGCGAACGCGGCGCCTCTCTGAAGTACGCGTCCGCAACTCTCAAAACCTGAGAGCAGAAAGGCTAGGAGGAGGAGGAGGAGGAGGAGGAGGAGGAGGAGGGGGTGCGCCCCTTCGGTTCCACGGGCATGTGCGACTTCTGCTAAATGCCCCGCCCACCCTGGTGCTGCACGGCGTGCCATTTGTGATGGCCCCGCGCGAGCTGCTGGAGGGGATGCGCCGCTCCGGTTTCGCTTGCAAGGGCGCCTCGGCTACATGCCCTACCGCCTCTGAGGCTGCACCGCGTGCCCCTCGAGGTGGCCCAGCGCGAGGTGCTGGCGGAGATGCACTGCTCGGATGTCGCTGTCAAGTGCGACTTCTGCCACCTTCCCTGCCGTCCCTGCGGCTGCATGGCGTGCCCTTCGAGATGACCTAGCGAGAGCGGCCAGAAGAGGTGCCCCGCTCCGATTCTTTGGGCAAGTGCGGATTGGCGTGCCCGTCGAGGTGGCCCAGCGCGAGCCGCTAGAGGATAGGCGCATGCCTGGTCGCTTGCTCTGCTGACTCTCCCTGCCCGTCGCCTCCCGCCCAGGGCTTGCGGACCGCCCCACCTGCCTTGCCTAGTCGGCCCGCCCCGCCGCACGGCAAGCCCCGAAGGTTGGGTGCAGGGGGGGGGCGGAAGGGGTCTGGGCAAGGGGCCGCTCTTGCCGCCGTCACCACCCTGTGGCTGGCGGGCCGCCCCATTGGCCTGGCCCGCCAGGGCCGCTCTGCTGCCCCGCAGCCGCTGCAGGTTGGGCGCCGGGAGGGGGGCGGGAGGGGTCGGGCCCGGGGAGCGGTCTCGCCGCCTCTGCCCGCCCGGGGTGTGTGTGGGCCGTCCCGCCTGCCTTGCCCGCGCGGCCCGCCCCGCCGCCCCACAATCGCCGCAGGTTGGGGGCGGGGGGGGGGGCGGTGGAATAGTCTGGGGTTACCAGCCTGGGATAGGGATAGTCTCGCCCATCTTAGGGATAGGGATACGTTCGAGGCTGGTCATGGGGGTCTGCCTCGCCACCCGCACCCGCCTGGACCAGGGCGGGCCATTAAGGGGCAGGCCCTTTCGGGGCGCCCCTGCCGCGCTGGCCCGCAGGCCTTTCGGGGTGGAGGCGCTCGCAGCGGGTCGGACGCCCCGAGGGGAGCCGTCACTCACCCCAGGCTCGAACCGCAGGCTCCCTCATCCTTCCTCCCGCTGTTCCTCCCCCCCTCATCTCTCCCCTCTCATCCATCCCTCCCCCCTCCTCCCTCCTCCCTCCTCACGCACCCTCCTTCCACCTCCTCCTCCTCCTTCCTCCTCCTCCTCCTCCTACTCCTCCTGCTCCTCCTCCTCCTCCTCCTCCTCCTGTTATGTTTCCTCATCCTCGTCCTCCTCCTCCTCCTCCTTCCTCTCACTCCTCATCCTCCTCCTCCTCCACCCTCCTCCCCCTCCTCCTCCTCCTCCCTCCTCCTCCTCCTCCTCCTCCTCCTCCTCTTCCTCCTCTTCGTCCTCGTCCTCCTCCTCTTCCTGCTCCTCCTCCTCCTCCTCATCTCCTCCTCCTCCTCCACCTCCGCCCCCGCCCCCGCCCCTGCCTGCTCCTCCTCCTCCTCCTCCTCCTCCTCCTCCTCCTCCTCCTCTTCTTCCTCCTTCTCTGTCCTCATCCTCCTCATCCTCCTCCCTTTTCCTCCTCCTCCTCATCCACCACCACTTCCTCCTCCACAACCTCCTGCTCCTGCTTCTCCTCCTCCTCCTCCTCCTTCTCCTCCTCCTCCTGCTCCTGCTCCTCCTCCTCCTCCTCCTCCTCCTCGGGAGGCCACCCAAACGGCGCCAGAGCACATGGGTCCGACGATCGCACCGCACCGCCAGCATCGCATCGCCGATGCATCGGTGACGTCGGGATGGGGAACGTCGGGCTCCATGTCGCGCGCCGCGTCGCCGGCGCGGGCCGGTGCTCCGACCCCATCCGGATCCGTCGGCTACACGCAAGGAGTGGCCCGAGGCAAAGAGCGACCCTCGCTGTGCGCGGCGTGAAGCGGACCACGGGCGGGACGACCCCAGGCGCGCAGGCCGCTGCTGTCGCATCGCATTCCGTGATCGGGAGGGGGGGCCCTCTCGGCCCTCACCGAAGGCCACCCTGGCGAAAAGTCACTCTCGGGTGATCTCGGTTCGACGCCATCTGGGCGGCATGCCTCCCCACGCCTCCGCATCGCGTTCTCGAACGCGTGCGCGCCAGAGGCGCTTACACAAGCAAGCGCAGATGCCCCAATCAATATCACCCGGGCGGCACGCTCTTGGAACTCCGCCCCGAGGGCAAACAAAAAGACGCGATCGCGTACGTTTGAAGCCCGGCAGCACGCACATTGGCGAGCCGCGGGTTCTGACATTTCCGAAGCGGCGGGCGCGCTGCCCTCAGGGGCCCTCAGATATCTGCACGCCCTTTGGCGTGCCGCCCCCATTCGCCTCCGTGGGGCACCACTCCCACGCGAGACGTGCCCTCCCCAAGCTCGCCCGGGCGGGGGGCCAATGCCGTGGGAGGGCCAACACCGGCGACGAGGAGCAAGCGTCTACTCGTCCGCCCCTGCCGAACATCGTGGTTGTCCACAGCCCTCGGACAGGCACAAGCAAGGTGACGATCGGGCTGCTGCCCGCCTGTTTTCCTGGGAAGGAGACCCAGTCGTACGGGTGTTGGTCCTCCCTCTTCCTCCAGCTTCTTCTCCTCCAGCTCCTCCTCCTCCTCCTTCTCCTCCTCCTCTGCCTCCTCCTCTTTCCCCCCCCCATTCTGATGGCCTCCCCTCATATGATGGCCGTGGCTGGCCAGTTCATCAGTCCGAGAGTGGTTCGGGGAGGGGTGTGGGGCGTCTCCAGTGGCGGGATGGCTCGCCAATTATCGAACCATCTCTTGAACATGGGCCTCAGAGACGGATTGCTAAAAAGGCTCCCTCCGCAACGGGTGGTGCGGCTGTCCAGCTGTTGCGTCGCTGCTGACTGGCATCATGCTGTGCTCCCTGGTATGTGGTATGAAGGGGAAACATAACCTCAAAAAGAAAAAGAGTCCCAGCCCCCGGGAGGGGCCCCGTGACGTTGAAAACGACAGGCAAGGCTCAGGACCTATTTCTTCGTAGTGAAGTCCTCGTCGTCCTCCTCCTCGTCGCCCTCCTCTCGTAATCCTCGTCGTTTTCCTCGTCGTCCTCCTCGTTCCCTTCGTCGTGAAATCCTCGTCCCTTTCCTCCTCCCCGTCCTCCTCGTCGCCCTCCTCCTCGTCGTTCGTCGTCGTCCTCCTCCTCCTCCTCCTTTGCTTCATTGAGAG